ATTTTCAAGAACATTTATAAATTATAAACTTATTAAATTTTTCACATTGAAATTTTTTATTATCAATGATTTAAATATCTTAGTTCTTTTTTTAATTTTATATTTTTAAAAGATATTAACAATCGATAATATGGTTATTTTTGGTATATACCATACAAACCGAATAAATGTGATTTTATAAAAACCATAGGATTTGGATATGGTTTGATTTATAATCGATTAAACTGAAACATGTAAATATGTATATATTTATAACGACGCATAAATATCTATCTGTTACATGAGTTGAACTATAATAATAATTTGTAAATAGCTAACAATTTATTACAACTAAGACTTCTTATTTTGATCTTTTGCTTTTTTAACACTAACTAAATTGAAGTAAAGATTATAAATTTGATGGAAAATAATTAGTTGAAATTCTTTACAACTTTTTTTTATCTTTAAACAAATAGAGTTGTGTTCAATCGAAGATATATTGGTTTGATGAACACTAAATATGGAAGAATATAAAAACTTTTCTTTCATGCTTCTGTTTTGTTTTTTATTTTTATTTTCAAAATTTAGTGTTTTGATATTAATTCTAGATTTGAGCATTTTATTAGATGATAGAAGCCTTTTTCGTTTTTTATTCTTTTATTTAAATATATAAAAAAAATTTAATAAATAACTCTGTGACAATATGACTCTAAATATAATCATATTATATATTTGTATAATATATAATATGATCTCAAACTAAATAATTATGTTTTTTGGTATAAAATTGAATAAACTGAAAACCGATGGTATATAAACCAAATCAAGCTGAAGTACATATAAATTTAGAATAGTAATTATATTTTAATGATCGAAATACCAAAAAATCGAGCCGAACCGAAACCCGATATCCGGATTGAACACCTCTAATCCGAATGAAACCGAACTATTTTTTCATTTTTAAAAACATAATAAAAATAATAGCTTCATCCCGCGCAAGGCGCGGGTCTTATCCTAGTTAGGGGATAAAGTCATAAACCAAGTGTTTCACAAAAAGAAAAAAAAAAGGTCATAAACCAAGTACATAGATTTAATAGCTGCGTCGAAGATTTCACCTTAATAACAGTCTTCTCTACTCTTGTGTAAATAAATAATAGGAGAATCAACTCATTAGCAACATCCTCGGGGTTTCACTTTCTTTTTTTGTTACTTGTTACTTACGCTTCTTCGGCTTTGGCTTGAGGTGTTTCCACAAGTCCATCAGACAAACCACACCTTCTTTGAGAGTTGCTTTTCTTCCTTCTTTGAAGTTCCAAAGCTCAGGCACTATGTACCTTCCACTTCCATTGTACTCGTTCCTTTCCATAAGCGCTTGTGTCACAGCTTTAAACACTTCATCACCCAGCTCTCTCTTCAGTTCCTGCAGCTTCTCATCTTCTTCATTCAGCACCTCCTGCAAACAAACAAAAATTGTACACATAAATTCTAAGAGCATTGTTTAAGAGCGAGAGAAGAAAAAAGAGATGTATTGTTGTTACCTTGTGGATTCCATCTATTAAGACCATCTTAATCGGATACCAAGCAGAGTCGCTCAAGTGGTCGTCCCATAAGGAACAAAGCTTTGCAGCTTCCACATCAGCTTCTTCTGCTGGATATCTCTCCTTAGCTAGTTTCTGAAACGGTTTCTCATCCAATTCTCCCATTCTCTTCACAGATATCTGAGCACGTACTGACATCAACTCATTCATTGACTGCACATAGCATAAACATGGTTAGTAGCAAGAATCATAGAGAGAGGGTAGTGAGTATGAGAATTGCTTACTTTGATCAAAGCCTTGCGAGCATCTTGAAGCTCATCATTAGTGTAGCCATATTTAACAACAAGAGCTTGATTGAGTGACTCTTGGTATTCAGACTCCTCTTCTTTCTCCTTGAGTTTTTCTTTAGTCTTTTCTATCTCTTCCTTCATATCTTTCATGTGTCCCATCACCTGCAGGCCACCTCTCAGGCGCTCTATCTCTAGCTCCAATGCCAGATCATCATCCAGTTTTTTCTCCAGATCTTGCACTTTCTTATGTAACTCATCTTTCTCCCTCTGTAAACACAACAGCCAGCTTCAATAGTTATGACCAAAATAATCAAATAGTCTGCAATCAGGGCCGGCCCTGGGCCATGCTTTGTGAAACATTTGCAATAGCCCGCCCCCAAAATTTATGAAAAAAAAGTTACATAGACATCAGTTCCCAAAAAATATTTTAGGCCTCCAAATTTATAAAAAAAATAAATTTACATAGATATTACTACAAGCTCTCAAAATCTCAAGGCCGACCCTGACTGCAGTTAGGACACAATCTTTAGCAAAAGTCTTACCTGTTGCTGTTTTGCCAATCTCATCATTTCTTCATCAGCTTTGTTTTGCTCTTCAGTAGCCATTAAGTTCTGACCAAATAAATTAAAAAGATTTCACTAATTATTCCGCAAACTTTATTTTAAAAAAAGGGATGTTGAACGTTGTTACCTTCTGTTTTTGCCACTGAAGCTTTTGTCGCTCAAAATTATTCAATGATTGACATTCATCAAGATATCTCTCCCTCTCTTCAAACTCTCTCCTCTTCTTTTCCAGATCCTGAGCTGCCTTTTCATGTTCACTATAGATACTCGCCAAATAGTCACGCACCGTTCGCTGCATTTTATTCATTTCTAAACATTGAAAAAATTAAAAAACAAATCAGTTACAGAAAACAGGTAAAATGTAATTTTATCATCAGTAAGAGAGAAGAAGCATATACTTTCATTATGTGCGTTGATCATTTCATCCTTCTCCTTCATACTCTTCTCAAGCGCTGTACTAGCTTCTTTGTATTTGCTCTCTATTTCTTCAAGGTCATTGTTTCTTGTCTCCAATGTGTTTTCCAAGTCCGAGACAAGCGTCTTTGTCCTTCTTCGTAGTTCTGCCTCTTGACCAGAAAGAGTCACCAAGTCCCCTTGTTTCTGTCTCCTAAGTTGTTCACCAACCACAGTTTTAGAATAGTAGTCCTCCTTTTTCGCTAACCAACCATAAAGCTCATCACCACGGTCACAGTCACGTGCAGAAACAAACTCTCTCTTCCCACATTGATTGACTTCAAAGTGATTCTCAAACAGGGTGGCGTTTCTGAAAGCTTCCCAGTCTCTACCAAAGTGAATAAAAGCAAAACCAGTAAAACCAACTCGGTTGTTCCATAGTGGCTCCACTTTGTGGAGATTAAACCCTTTGCTAACTAGTTCTCCTCTTAACTTGCTTCCACTCTCCCCAGCAAACTTCCTTGTTTTTTCATCAAATGTTCTATTCATGTTGGCCACGATCCCTTTCCATGGATACACAAACATCAGATCATCATTACCGCCACCAGCCAAATGATCACCACTCTGAGGAGCAATCTGTTGGACAGGTTCTTCTCCTTCTTTAGCACCAGCAGTGAGGCAAGCTCTCTTGGAAGGGTATGTATTGTCTTGGTTGCTCAAAGAGGAGTTCGGTTTAGGAGACAACATCTGTCTTTCTTCACCACTTTGTCCACCAACCTCTCCTGAGACAGACATTGGTTCAGCAGCAGTACCAAGTGGTCTTTCAAGAGGGAGGAGATACTTCTTCATGTATCTCTCAAGTGCAAGATGTCTAGCTACTTCTCGCCCATCCTTAGTGCGGGAACTACCTCTAAAGTTGTAAGCATGACGAAGCAAGTCGTCAAAGTTGTAATCACGCTTGTGGTCTATGTAGCAGAAGGGACACCTGAAGAGGGAGTCAGAGATCTTGACCTTGCGAGTGCCATCTTTCATTTCAAAGTAGTATCTGTACTGCAAATCATCCAGCTCTCTTGTTGAATACATTTTCAACCTGCAACCACAAAGCTTAAAAGCCAAAGGAAGAGAGAGACCTAGAACTTTATTATTAACCACAAGAACTTTTATGAGATTAAATTGAATATAGGTATTATAAGAATGGGATCAACCAAAATAGGAGGTAAATAAAATAAAAAAAATCTGAAAGATGGACTTGCCTTCTTTGCAATTGCATCTGCTGTCTGGTTCCTTTCCCTTTAAGGAGATCCATCCAATGTCTAATATCACACAACAAGTTGATAATATCAATATGATCCTCGACCTTATTGATAATACTGCAGAGCAACCGGGGCTTCTAGCTCAAGTGGTAAAGGGCTTACAGCTGTGAATACCGCCACCTAAGTTCGAATCCCGGCCACTAAGAAATTAACATTTCGGCATCGCCAGAGACAGAGGACCGACACGTGGCAAAACGTGACTGGTCTGGATCACTTCTTTGAGGCCAGGATACCTCTGTATAATTCAAAAAAAAAATAATATTGCAGAGCTCCCCCTTCAAACAGAAAACTACTATAGCTTCACCTTCCAAAACAAGCAAAATGCCATTTTATTCTTGCATTCCCTGACGCTAAGTGCTTTCCATGATGATCCAACCAATACCCACTGTACTCATTCCCTTCTTTGAAGCTACAATCAAAGTTACCGTGATGTTCTGAACATTTTTGAACCATTCCTTGTGTTATAGTGCCGGTCCAACATTTTTTTTTTTAATTATACAAAAGTATCCTGGCCTCACAGAAGTGATCCAGACTAGTCACGTGTTGCCACATGTCGGTCCTCTATCTCTGACGATGCCGAAATGTTAATTCTCCAGTGGACGGGATTCGAACTCAGGTGATGATACTCACAACTGTAAGTCATTTACCACTTTAGCTAGAAGCCCCGGTTCCGGTCCAACATTTTCATTTTTTCTGGATGCCCTAAACGCATTTAAAATTTAATGTCCTTATTATTTATGTAATTTTTTATAATACCTTATATGTAACTAATTTATCATTTAAAATCATAATGCCCTAAACAGTCACTTACTTCGCTTGTGCTCCGGACATGTGCTTCTCGACATATATATGAACATTCCTTTTTTAGCAAATAAGAACTCATTTCTTGTTTTCCAGATGAACCATAAATTTCAAAACACCAAATGCCAGTTTGTAAACTTTAATCTATATTATAATATTTGAAATATTACTCTTGGAGTTTAAAATGATTAGTTTCAATTTTTTGACATTTTTTACAAAAATTTGAGATATTCAAGAACTAAAATTGAACCAATAATACTTAAAAATATTTCAATATTTAAATGTATAAAACATATAAAAACCAAAACTTAAGGGAATACAATATCATCATTTTTATCTAAAAGACATGAAAGAAACTGAGATTGCGAAAAAGAAAAAAAAGAAGAAGAAGGTTGCAGAGTGACAATGAAGGAACTTGTATCAACACCACCAAGTAATCCAAAACAGAACTAAGAAGAAGAAGACTATTCAAATGATAACGTTAATCCTGCTTCATGTCTCGAACGATAATTTCACATCCTGTAGAACGTTTTGCCAGTTTATTAACCTTATAGTATACTTGTGATTTCACAATGTGTCGACATGAATAAGCTGTGGGAATCAGAATGAGTTTCTTCAGTACTGCTGAGTTTTTAAGAAAGTAACTGACTAATTTCATCTTCTCTTCCTCCCATTCAAACTTATCTTTTATCTCAACACACTCGAGAGTCGTTGAGACACACCGTGGCACATCTGTGAGTTCCAGTCCCTCCTTCATCTCCTTTGAATAAACAACCTTCTGCAAACACACAAAAAAAATATATTAAATAAAACACATTAATTATCTATAAAAACATAATTAGAACAAGATGGTTAATTTACCAAGACTAGGTGTTTCAGATTTGGGAAAATCTCAAGAAAGGCTGGAAGAAACTGCAGTAACTTGGTATGGAACACGGCTTGTAAACGGGATAAGTTAGTGAATTTAGGAATCATTACTCTTTCTGAGTAGCGAACAAGGGACTGCACTGTTTTGGCAGAGATGATCATATTTCTTACACTCGATATCCCAATGAGAAAACCATTTATTTCACTTCTCTTTGATACGTCCCAAGTACTCAAAAGCATCCAAAACCCGTAAACAAAGTTGATATCAAGCTCAACACTGAACAAAGAAGTTAGGTTCTTTACCAAAATGCTATCAATCTGATCATCTCCTAGACTCATATGCTCTAGCCTCGGAGCATCAATCGCAAGTGTGCATTTCTCTCTCCAACGGACATAGTCCTTCCTAGGTGGCAGCACATGAAACCTCTTCAAGCTCTGAGTTCTAATAAGCATAACCTTAAATGTATCATCCGGATCCCTCAACAAGGTCAGCTCCTCAAGAACAGGACAACCTGAGATAAGCGTATCCAGATGCACGTGCCATTTAACTTCTTCGAGATGCATGGATTTAAGACAAGGCATGAAAACAACACTAGGATGCTCAAGTCTAGAAGACGTGAGCTTCAAGTAAACCAATGTCCTGCTTGTGAAGAGATTAATAGGCATCATGTCAAAAGCAGGATAGTGAAGATTGTCATCCTCTAAATAATAGTTACTGCTCTCAACATCTAGATGTTGTGTTCCACGGTTAATCATTGTACCGAGACGATCCATGAACCCGTCTATCATCGTGTCTCTGCACTTAACCTTGACTTTAAACAGAACAGACTCAGGGATAAACTCGAGAAGCTTGTCAATGAAGCTTAAAGGAATAGAAGAGCAGTCTAGGTCAAGACCGGGAACGGTTAGATACAGATTCTCCCATCTCTTGGACAAAACACTTGTCTGCACCGATTGTTTTGTCGGAAGGTATGAGAGTATTTGAGTTAACAAAGCGTCTGGTAACTCGCTGATCCTATCGCGCCCAGACATTACGAAACGAAACCCTAATAGCATCAACAAGCAACAAACACCATAAGGAAAAAAAAAAAAGAAAAAAAAAAGAGATCTTGTCGAACCCTTTTTTCTTTTTGTCACAAAATACTTGATTAAAAGGCCCAAGCCCAATGGGTCCAAATTACACAGATGAGTTTCTGAGTGTGGCCTTTGCAAGGGCATCAGCCTCCTCGTTGTTCTCTCTTAAAACATGAAAAAACTCTAAAGAAACAAAACTAGCAGAGAGATTACGGATGTCTTTTATAATTCCCAGTAACTCTTTCCTCTGCGTTTTGCCATTGATTGCTCTGATGAGCGTTAGATTGTCCGAACAACACCATAGGTTCGGTATTTTTGCCTCAGCCGCCATGAATAGCCCTTCTCTGATCGCCAACACCATAGGTTCTTTGTAATGCCTATTACTTTTACTTCCTGTGCCATACTCCATTCTCTTGTCGAACCCTAGGCGTTGAGTTTACCTTGGATTGGTGTAACTTTTGGTGTAGAACGAACGAAGTCTTCGAGCGTTTAGTATTTATATGTTCCAAGTGGTTCCGATTCCATCTTCAAAAGAGCGTTTCAATAATATAGGATGTCTTTATTGTGTATCAAATATTTCTTTTACTAAGATAAACTTTTTTTTGGTTATATTTCATGTTATATGCCATTGGAAAAGAGAAATATCATAAGATAACATTACAAATGTTTTTATCATAAACATAGTATTGTACTTAACATTGTCCCTTGTCTATGGGCTATTCTCATAAATTCTCTCTACTCAGCTTAGAACTTTCAAACTGTATAATTTAGTACCAAATATGTTGAATCGAATCTACTTAGTGTCTGTTTATTTTTATTTATTAATTTGTTTGTTTACACCAAAATTATGGTTTTAGAGGATTTAACTTTCGTTTCATTTTATGATGTTAAAAATTGTTATATATAAGGATAAATATTTGTATGGTGTGATAATGCGAGAGTATAGGCAGGAGTGTTGTACTACGCATTAAGTGCGGGGTGTATAGATAGGAGTTCTATACCACACATGTAGGGTGTATAGGCAGGAATTATATACCACACATAGATTGTTTGTGTAGTGACTTACGAGGTGCAAAGACATATGTGCTAGTGACGCATATGATGAACATATAGGAATGCATGCAGGAGTTTGATGCACGTATGAGCTGCGGGAGTGTAGACAGGAGGTCTTTACTACTTAATAATGTATACGAGAGGAATACGGGAGTGCATGTACGAGTTTTGTACTACACTTTATATGGAAGTATATTTATTTATATATCTATACGAGGAGCATGCGGGATGCAAAGAATAGCTTATGTATTATCAGCACATTGATTGATATGTGTGGCCACTAAACGTTGTGGTTGTTCATATTAGGTCTAGATTATTGGTTGGAGTGCTATGTTTGGGTTCTTGGACTTACAGATTTAGCATCCTATATACCTCACTGAATTATTTCTACGTTGCTCACTCCTCATTTTTTACCCTTTCAAGTGAAACTAACGAGCAAATGTAATTCTAAGGATTGGTGTTTTTGGGCATTTTCTTATTTTATTTCAGACTTATAAAATTATGTTTTATTGATATATTTGGATTTACTACATTACTTAGATTTATAGCTATTTATTAGATTGATGGGGTTTAATAAATAAAAAATTCAAATATTTTTATTTATTTTATCATTGTGGATAATGCGTGTGTTCAAACATTCTCTTCAGCTGAGATGACCCGGTTACAGCAGCCATAGCTGAATTGTGAATAGTAAACCACGTTCAGGATTGACAGAACCATACTCAAGAATTAATGAGAAGTCTATCACAACTTTCTGCCAAATCGCATGTTGGTAAAATAAATACAAACATATAATTTGTACACGATAGTAAAAGCTGACTCTCTCTCATTGTAGAAAATACATTTTTAGTCTCGTATTCTTTCTTTCTTTCTTTCAGTTTTGACTAAGAACATCTTTAACGTACTGTTTTTCTCTAACAATAGCATGTTTAACTTATAGTATTTATATCATTTTCAGGAATTTATATTTTATAG